TCCTAGCATCATACAGTGTGATACAACTGTTCTACAAATAATTCAGCAAAGTTGACATTTCCGATTAACTAGGTTATTCTGAAATCGATAAGAGTACCTACAAACTACATAAATGTTGAACTTTGTGCGTTGAATTTTTGTGCTAATGAATAATAGTTTATCAAAGATAAATCAGTGTAAACGTTATTTTATGATAATTATGGTTTAAAAAATATAACGTGGTGAAGGGTAGTATAACAGAATTAATTATGAAACTCATTTATTTCTCAACAATTTTACTTAAAATTGTAAACATCGGAACAAAGACGCACTTAATTTTTATGAGTTGCAGAAATTATTGAACTTGTGAGTTAAGTGCCGTATTGACCAGTTGATTTGACTAAAGAAGGTGACTTTCTCTGGAAGCTATACGTTGAAGCTACCAACAAAATGTTTATTCACTAGTCAGTGACAAGACGTTCCAAATCTTAGGTTCCGTCGTTTTACAGCAAACGTTCGGTTGACTGCTTTGACGAAGAAAAAGAAATTTTTTTCATTGAAAGGTTGTATGGATTGTTGAATTTCATCAAAATCACGAGTTTATCAATTTAAGACCGTCTTCGAAAAAACCGAAGCATTGGAAGACCAATTTACATAGTAATGCTTCTCATCAGTAGTCAGTGTGTATCAATGTGTATAGTCGACTAGAACAAATGATAGTCGCTCTGAACCGCCAAAATGTCATCTATTGAACACATAGCCGGATTTCAACGGAGTCGTGGTTTGACTTTCTACAATTCTTCGACTCATGATTTCAATGGAAGTACGTGATCGTAAGTTCAACCAATAAATAAAGAGCCTATGTCGGGTCCGAGAATAGATACTCGTTCATAGTTTATGTATATATGTGTGCATGAAAATAGTTTATTTATATAAGGAAATTTTCAGCAAATCGTGGACAGAACACTGTTGAAATAACTGACTACGCAGTTCAGTAGTGGGGCCATGTTATTCTGTACTTTGAAGTGAAATAAAGTGAATATCTGTTCAATCATTGAACACAATGTAAACGAACAAAGCGCAGAGAACCGATATACAGAATTTGTTACAACAAAATATAACATGCAACATGTATATGTGACATCTGTATCGAAAATTCAGTAACATGTATTGTCAAAACGAAGAAAATGAGGAACATATGCACCAAAACACTAAATAATTATATGAATAGTAAATGTATAGAAGTTTTAACGAAAATGGTAGATATACAATGAAATAAAACATATCTATAATATATAGTAACAGTGTACGATTACCATAGTAGAACAGCTGAATGGCATCAGCTTACATCAATATGTGAGTGATGACAGAAAAATCATTTTTCACTAAACGCTTGAAAATTTTAGCAAATCATTGAACTACTGTGTATTTCTGAGTAGTATATCTGTGCATCAGAAATTAGTACGAAACTATGAGACTAAAGGCAGAGTAATGTCCTAGTGAAGACGTCACTTCACTAACACAGTAGTAGATGAGTATTTCTTTTAAATATTTGCCTAGCATCTTTAGCAACGAGCTGAAATCGAACAGTGATAATACCTGAATTGTTTATTTTCGTATAAATCCATGAGTGCATGTGTGTTAACATCACTCCAAACCTGTGTTTTCAATCTGTAAACTTCTCCCCTTACTCATATCGGCAAAACAGTCTGAAATTAGATGATACTCTAAGACAAATTATAGTTATCAACTGAATCGTACGAACCGTTTATTCGCCTACTTTGTTCTTGTTTATTGAATTTATATAACAGAGGGGCGTTCGAAAACCATTCTGAACAAAATGATTTTCAGTCTTAACCCAGTTGTCTTTTCAAAGCTATTAAGTTACTGATTGAAGAAAGTTCGTTTTTAAACAACTAATGTGCAATCACTGGTTTCATACAAGCAACGTCAGTGCGAAAATCAACTATCTGACAAGATGAAACAATACACTACGTTTAAATAGATAACAAGACACTGTCCTAACTGTTATGGTCAACTGTGAATTTATGTATGTTTATATAAGCACGTGACTAGTATGAGAATGACGATTTCAATGAAAAATCAACATAGCGTTTGCTTTCTACATCAAAACAGCGAAAGTACACACCTATCAGAACGGACACATCATAGCGTCTCTTATAAGCGACCTACAATAGTATATTCAAAGTGATTAGGACTAATGATGAAATTGCCACATTGGATTAGATTGGAAAAACAGACATCATTAGCATCAACAACTTCAAAACTAGCCTTCATCCAAGAGCACTACAATTCAGTATGTAGGCATAATCATACAATCATCAGATTACCAAGGTGAGATTTCGAGCCATCTGCAACAGCAACGGAAGAAAACCTGACGATCGTAATGATAATAATAATAATAATAATAATATTTATTATACAACATGTTCAAAAAAACCTCTAGACCAATCTTACTAATGTAATAAGTCTTATATATTTGGACAGAACCGAGAAGTCTTAAATGTTAAAAGATTCAACTGGACAGCGATATCTATACTTCAATGGTTTGATGGCAATAAATATTACTAACATGCTCATAAATATAAATCTATTTGGGATACTACGTATTTTTCATATATTGTTTTTTTGAAACCATGAATCGATCGATGTTAGACTACCATTAGAAACCTGGAAGCACTGGACGGCCGTTTCGTCCTGGTATGGGACTCCTAAGCAGTGCGCATCCACGACTCCTGCATCCCGCAGGAGTTGGATACCGGCTCAGTGGTCTAACGGTTAGGGCGTTCGCGCACAATACCGAAGGTCCTGGGTTCGAATCCTGCGGGATGCAGGAGTCGTGGATGCGCACTGCTGAGGAGTCCCACACCAGGACGAAACGGCCGTCCAGTGCTTCCAGGTTTCTAATGGTAGTCTAACATTGATCGATTCATGGTTTCAAAAAATGTGTAACTTACCAATCTTCACAACCCCTGTAATGAATATATTGTTTTAACGATAATATATATATATGTACAGTCAAATACAATTTCTTAAACAGTAAACATGGAGGAAAAAATGTCTCCATTACCTAAACAGAATTACATACAAAAATTACCAAACGTCACAAATAGTTGACTTGCGGAAGAATTTACTCAAATTGTAGTCACAATTTCCTAACTTTATTTTGATTTGAGCATTGAATAACACAGTGTTGTAAAGTGACATGAATTGCCTATCACTTTCAGCAATGTGGATGTCCATATTTGTAACCAGGTAACTAAAAACTTCTAACGTCAGTTACCATCGATTCATGCGACGCAATTCCGCATTACACATAAGATGACGATCATCACTAAATATATATTTCCTTATACTGAAAGGAGATTTATGGATCCACAGACTCGTCGGTAATGAAGTAAACTGAAGGAAAAAATTTATTCCAGTTGACGTACTCTGTATACTCAGCAGATTAGTGAGTTAAACTGTATCAGTGCGCCATCGCGTTGATGCTCAAGGTATATAATAGCACAATAATTTATCATAGTTTCAGTCAGTATATCCGAATGTCTGTTACTGAATACATTCAGTGTGATACTTGACGCTTTGCCTGCGTCTATCTTTGTGCATTTTCATGAATGCGCGTCAATTCACATTTCATCTGAATGAACACAGCTAGTTAAATACCATGAATACGTAACCACAGCTTCCAATCTTGAGTAAAATTGTTGATCATTTGAGCAATGAAACATTTGCTGTCTTATTAAAATAAAGCGTGTCGAACAAGTGAGACATAGTTGTGAAAGTGAAAAAAAGATTCTGAATTGTGAATTAAAAGAGTTTTCAAGCCATTCAACACCTATCTACACTGAATATCATCGTGAACAAACAGCACCTCAAATCATCCATCCATTACTAAGCTTCTTGAAAAAAATTCTGCGCAATAACATCACCGGTGTGTGACAATTGACTTTTGAAGAATTCCATATTTCATCAAAATGTGTATAGAGCACTCACTAGTTTTCGAAACTTTCTGAGCATCAATGTTCGGTCATTCTGTGTGGAGCAAGCTGCGTTGAAATCATCATTCTGAATGAAACAGACTCTTGCCAATGCTTTCAGTTCCGATATAATACCACGAACGAGCAGATATGCAAGGATGCTTTGTCTCACACATCGCATGATTTGGATGTCGGAATGGCATCAACTATTCCATCAAACAAATGATAGTAGGGGACGTTTGTTGATCTGGTGAACATTCCTCATTGAAATCACTATTGTAACGTATTCATCAACATCGAAAACTATTCAAATCTCATGATTTTACGAGTTTGGTAAGTGAAGAAATAATTGACATTATTCTAAGAAATCGATAAATTAGATAGATTTGAATGACTGATTATCTATGATGTGTGCAAATTTATAAATCAGATGCACATTATGAGTACTCTGGTTGAGATGCTGATATTGATCTGTAATTACTGCTAATACTTTTCATATATTTACAAAGGACTATCTATACGTTACTTTTCATCATATGAATCACTGTTTTTAGCGGGGTAAAGTAACTTCAAAGTTTGTGTGTATATAGGTCAAATTTTTATTTGTCAGTACCAATAATATAATTAATTACATTGAGTAATACAAACATTCTTTTCAACGTATAAAAAAAACAGGTTTATAATATAGTTAGTTGTTAAAGAATAATTTAGTCAAACTATTGTGTGTATTACGGTTGATTGGATGTGATATCAGAAGAATGAAGCCACACAACATAGAATCCAAGAAGTTTACAACTATTCAATCTCTTAAGATTCTTGCCATCGTCTATCGTCTGTTAGTTCTTATCGCCCTTAGCACAATATCAATTTATGGCTATGAATACTTTTACCAAGATGAAACCTACGACATTTGGAGATTGTTAAGGCTGTTCAAATGTCTTTCTGTAATTATATTAGTAAGTGTACATTCACTCCATAATTCATATGGCTTTCATCTAGGCTTTATTGATCGTGTATTTTATGACTGCTTCATTGTTTCAATGGTTCAAATTTCATAAAATACATGGTTACTTTTATGTTGTTGTACTCACATATAGTTGGGTAAGTGTTCTCATTTTAATAACTTTGGCTAATTTCAACACATTTTTTCTTCAAAATTAATGATAGGTAGCATTGTGTATGTATTGGTTATTCATTTTATTGGATCCCAGTATTTTTACTTGCAATACAGAAATAAAAAATATACCATTATGGTTCATTCATATGAGTGTAAGTCATCTATAAAAAATGTATATTTTTATGTGGTCAATTTCTTGATTCATGTTAAACAGTGTGTTTTTGTAACTTAGTTCTAAAATGTTCTTGATCATGTTGATAGCATTAGGTTCTTGTAATATATTTTCACTATATCGACGGCAAACATTAGGATTAAGGGTTTTCTTTGAAGGATCACTGAACTTTGATAGATTTTCTCACTGGTTTGTGTGATCAATAGGATAGACTTGTGTAAATGTCGGACATTACGTCTCACCACAACCACTGGATGCACTTCAGACTGTTGAACATCAATTCTTAATGAAATACCTTAACGTGATAAGACGAAACTCGAGTGTTAAGCATTCCAAGTCAAATTCATCCTAATCACAGCTGTTATTTTTTGAAACATGGTGATATATCCAATTTCTGATTCCTGGTTTACAGTTTTTTTAAGTTTGATGTTACTTCCTGACGAGACATCAACTGAAAACAATTTGAATTAGGCATACGATTGTTGATTGATCATTTCAACAGAAGAATGTTAAATTCTTCATGTTCGATTAATATGTTGATTGAATTCACACGCAATAAATATACTTCTTTCAATTTACTATTGAAGAACCTATTGATACCAGTGGTAATCGTAACTGAAGCTTTGATATGGGTACCAAGAACCGTTAATATACTAATTTCCATTCTGATATGCTGTACATTGGCGTTGATCTACAATATTTAGTGAGTTTAGTTTTTGCATATAAATAATATTCATAATTGCTTGTTACTGATCACATCACTGATGTTCAACTGAATAATTATCAACAGTTATTTTCATATTTTTCTAATGATATTGTGTTGTGGTAATTGATTGATTGAATGGTGAGTGCTCTGTTTGTTGATGGCAATAAATGCTTCTGTGAAAGCTGTTTAACGAGTCTAATGCAGCTGAGAGAAAGCAACACAACAAACTGGTTTCTCTTCAGTCTTATTTTATTATTCTAGTAGTTTTCTGCCTACTAACAAAAAAAGAAGCATCATTCAGATAACCAGTGTCTGAACTTATTGCAGAAGCAGTGATACGAAGATTAGAAGCTTCAATTTAACCACTAATCAAGCTTACAATGCGGGATTATTTTGTGGACGACACAACAGGCAAAAGAAAGACATAGTGAGTCCCTACAATCCGATAAACGATCTGTTTGACGACATAAATTTTATCAATGGAAAGGAGCCAAACAACATATTATTATTCTTGGATATGCTGACCATGAGAACAAACACAATAAATCTAGAATTTAAGTTTGATCAAAGCCATCTTACATATATCTGAATCGCAATGATTGTAGCAACAACCCAAGACCCCACGAAATCAACTGCATGGAAAATGTACTTAATTGGTATAAAATACTCTGCTTTCGACATAAACCACGAAAAAATGAGGAGAACCACCCGAAAACCATATTACCGAAGGACGGCTATCAACGTAACTCCATCAAAACTTATCAATTTACACCATCGACCGGAGTGAAATCAAGCAAGGGAACCTTCAGACGCGTCATCAAACGATACAGTAAAGACTTATTGGAAATATCATTGAAGCTATTGGGAACAGCGGAAATATGCTTAGCAAAATTGATTCAATCAATCACCTGTTGACAAAAGTATGGATTGATTAAAACTGTAGACAACAATATATCAGACGTAGTTGACGTCCGCTTCAGCTTGACCTATGTGAACATTAATTAGTTTTGTAAAACCAAGTCGCATTTTTTCCTCATATCACTGCTTATGAACAACTATGGACAAGTATTCCGTTGGAAAAATGGTGAAACAGTAGATAGCGAAAATGCAGAGAATATCGAATATTTCTGGAAGCTTAGTACTGAGGTTAGTTGGTAGTCAACAAACACTTGAAGATTGAGTCAATGTATCAATAATACAGAAAAGTCTTAGCGAAACATGGGTTCAAGGTCCAGAACAATGAAGGATACAATTAAATTACTAACCGCCAACCATTGTAGAGATCGACAGAACAATCTTGAAGTCATATATGGAGACATTCGGATTCGTCACTTCGACTTCAAGCTTGTGCTGACGATTTTTTTCAAACAAAAAACGAAAACTCTACAACCGGATCATTCAACTCAGGTAACAAAACTTCACCATGAATTTTACGATGGTTAATTGATCTATGCATCAATATATATAAAAATGTGTCATCTTGAACAATAGAATTTCGTGAAGAATGACCACCATTTTCAAATGTGAACTGAAACAACTAGTTTGAATATAAATACACTCTGTGGAGTGAAAAAAAAATGTTGGACGAGGATAGATTTACTATCCTAACGTCTCAACATATTTCAGTATTAATAGTAGCCTTCAACCCATTGTTTAAATGTTAGTTACAGTGAACTAACAGATGTATATTCAGAGTAAATTTCAGTTCTTCCATTATACAGAGTTAAATCACATTGATGAGTATTCGCAGAACAAACTTTAAAGCACCTATTTAACCAATTTCCTCATTAATAGAAAAAAATAATTAACTTTTCAAATGTACGTTGAAATCTGATCTAGAATTAAAGTCAGCTGACATCAGACCAGTAATCTTGATGAATGCATGACAACAAATACGAACACACTCAGATGATAAATTATATTGTATTGAGTGATTTAACTCAGTTTATATCCAGTCGATTCAACCATAGTAAATACATGTTGATCGTAGATTTTGAAATAGAAATTTAACTTTTAAAGGTTACTTATAAGCAAGTAAGAATCGATTGATCGTACATCTAAAAACAATTTTATGAACCTTAGGTTCAATGATATTAAATTCTTTAATAAGAATCCCGGTGAAATCGTTAAGGAATGCATATATTCAAATTTTGATGAATTCGTTCTAACAGTAATTCCATTAAGGAATGTTCACCAGATCACCAAACGTCTCCTACTCTCATTTGTTTGATGGAATTGTCGATGATATCCCGACATTCAAATCATGTGCTGTGTCAGACAAACCATATTTGCATATCTGCTCGTTCGTTGTAACACGTTGGAACTGAAAGCGTTGGCAAGAGTTTGTTTCATTCAGAATGACGGCTTCAACGCAGCTTGCTCGACACAGGATGACTGAACATCGATGCTCAGAAAGCTCCGAAATCTAGAGTGTGCTCTGTATACATTTTGATGAAATACGTAATTCTTCAAAAGTTGATTGTCACACATCGGTGATCTTATTGCGTAGTTTATGGTGACACGTGCTCACCATAACTAAATTTATTATATGCGATTCAGTGTCGATCAGCATCATCTCAAGCACACTGTGATGTCTATTAAAACATTTAACTTTTAAGGTTTACTTATTAGCAAGTAAGAATCGATTGATCGTACAGCTAAAAACAATTTTATGAACCTTAGGTTCAGTGATTTTAAATTCTTTAATAAGAATCCCGGTGAAATCGTTAAGGAATGCATTTATTCAAATTTCGATGAATTCTCTGCAACAGTAATTCCATTGAGGAATGTTCACCAGATCACCAAAGAGACCACTATTATCATGTGTTTGATGGAATAGTCGATGATATCCCGACATCCAAATTATGTGGTGTGTTAGACAAACCATATTTGCATATCTGCTCGTCGGAACTGAAAGCGTTGGCAACAGTTTGTTTCATTCAGAATGACGGCTTCAACGCAGCTTACCGAACGCGCAATGACTGAACATCAGTGCTCGAAAAGCTTCGAAAACTAGTTAGTGCTCTATACACATTTTGACGAAATACGGAATTCTTCAGAAGTTTATTGCCACACATCGGTGATCTTATTGCGAAGTTTGTGGTGACAAGTGCTCACCATAACTAAATATATTATATGCGATTCAGTGTCGATCAGCATCATCTCAAGCACACTGTGATGTCTATTAAAACATTTAACTTTTAAGGTTTACTTATTAGCAAGTAAGAATCGATTGATCGTACAGCTAAAAACAATTTTATGAACCTTAGGTTCAGTGATTTTAAATTCTTTAATAAGAATCCCGGTGAAATCGTTAAGGAATGCATTTATTCAAATTTCGATGAATTCTCTGCAACAGTAATTCCATTGAGGAATGTTCACCAGATCACCAAAGAGACCACTATTATCATGTGTTTGATGGAATAGTCGATGATATCCCGACATCCAAATTATGTGGTGTGTTAGACAAACCATATTTGCATATCTGCTCGTCGGAACTGAAAGCGTTGGCAACAGTTTGTTTCATTCAGAATGACGGCTTCAACGCAGCTTACCGAACGCGCAATGACTGAACATCAGTGCTCGAAAAGCTTCGAAAACTAGTTAGTGCTCTATACACATTTTGACGAAATACGGAATTCTTCAGAAGTTTATTGCCACACATCGGTGATCTTATTGCGAAGTTTGTGGTGACAAGTGCTCACCATAACTAAATTTATTATATGCGATTCAGTGTCGATCAGCATCATCTCAAGCACACTGTGATGTCTATTAAAACATTTAACTTTTAAGGTTTACTTATTAGCAAGTAAGAATCGATTGATCGTACAGCTAAAAACAATTTTATGAACCTTAGGTTCAGTGATTTTAAATTCTTTAATAAGAATCCCGGTGAAATCGTTAAGGAATGCATTTATTCAAATTTCGATGAATTCTCTGCAACAGTAATTCCATTGAGGAATGTTCACCAGATCACCAAAGAGACCACTATTATCATGTGTTTGATGGAATAGTCGATGATATCCCGACATCCAAATTATGTGGTGTGTTAGACAAACCATATTTGCATATCTGCTCGTCGGAACTGAAAGCGTTGGCAACAGTTTGTTTCATTCAGAATGACGGCTTCAACGCAGCTTACCGAACGCGCAATGACTGAACATCAGTGCTCGAAAAGCTTCGAAAACTAGTTAGTGCTCTATACACATTTTGACGAAATACGGAATTCTTCAGAAGTTTATTGCCACACATCGGTGATCTTATTGCGAAGTTTGTGGTGACAAGTGCTCACCATAACTAAATTTATTATATGCGATTCAGTGTCGATCAGCATCATCTCAAGCACACTGTGATGTCTATTAAAACATTTAACTTTTAAGGTTTACTTATTAGCAAGTAAGAATCGATTGATCGTACAGCTAAAAACAATTTTATGAACCTTAGGTTCAATGATATGAAATTCTTTAATAAGAATCCCGGTGAAATCGTTAAGGAATGCATTTATTCAAATTTCGATGAATTCTCTGCAACAGTAATTCCATTGAGGAATGTTCACCAGATCACCAAAGAGACCACTATTATCATGTGTTTGATGGAATAGTCGATGATATCCCGACATCCAAATTATGTGGTGTGTTAGACAAACCATATTTGCATATCTGCTCGTCGGAACTGAAAGCGTTGGCAACAGTTTGTTTCATTCAGAATGACGGCTTCAACGCAGCTTACCGAACGCGCAATGACTGAACATCAGTGCTCGAAAAGCTTCGAAAACTAGTTAGTGCTCTATACACATTTTGACGAAATACGGAATTCTTCAGAAGTTTATTGCCACACATCGGTGATCTTATTGCGAAGTTTGTGGTGACAAGTGCTCACCATAACTAAATATATTATATGCGATTCAGTGTCGATCAGCATCATCTCAAGCACACTGTGATGTCTATTAAAACATTTAACTTTTAAGGTTTACTTATTAGCAAGTAAGAATCGATTGATCGTACAGCTAAAAACAATTTTATGAACCTTAGGTTCAATGATATGAAATTCTTTAATACGAATCCTAGTGACATTGTTAAGAAATGCATATATATTCAAATTTCGATGAATTCTCTGCAACAGTAATTCCATTGAGGAATGTTCACCAGATCACCAAAGAGACCACTATTATCATGTGTTTGATGGAATTGTCAATGCTATCCCGACATTCAAATCATGTGGTGCATATCTGCATATCTGCTCGTTCGTGGTATGATATCGGAAATGAAAGCGTCGGCAAAAGTCTATTACATTCAGAATGACGGCTTCAACGCAGCTTGCCCCACACAGAATGACCGAACACTGATGCTCAGAAATCTTCAAAAACTAGAGGGTGTTCTGTACACATTTAGATGAAATATGGAATTCTTCAAAAGTTAATTGTCACATACCAACGATGTTATTGCGTACTTTCTGGTGACAAGTGCGAAGCAGTATCGATCAGCATCATCTCAACAGCACTGCGATGTCTATTAAAACAGTTAACTTGATAAATTTTATTATTGTGTTTTGACAGTTATTGAATAACTTATTTCGAAATCTCTCATTTGTCCACAGTGTCGAGATTCAAATCATCAGATTCCAACACAGTATATATCCACATCTAGACAAGTTACGTGTTAGTCATCGATATATGATTTATTTTGTTGGGTGGTTATGGATCATCATATTCACTTTCATTTCATGCCTGCTTGTACGTTCACTGAATCCACGTGACCGCCTTCAATGTTTCCAAACAAAAGTAAACAAGAAAATCTCTTGAATAACAATAACTGAGAGAATTAGTTTCTATCGATATAATGACAAATTTCTGTTGCATATGTTTGACATTGAATGCTTATATATATATATTAAAATACATGAAACTCTTGTTCTTGCTGTTTTGGTTTGTGAAGTGTTTGTTTGACGTGTTTGATAATTTTTACCAGTAAATCTTTCCTTATATCTGTGTATGTCTGAATATCTACCATTTGTGTAATGATTTGCGTTGTTGACAGTTGCAGAGTGTTGATACGCGATTTGTTATCATGAATTTCGTTCGACAAATATTTGATGTTCATCTCCTTTTTTGTTTGTGTGATTGTATATCTGTTTCTAAGCCGTTTAAGCAAATGGATCAATTTGGTATATCTAACATGTCAGTGTGATCGGATTCTGTGATAGATCGATTTGGTTTTATGTTTAGTATCTATTTGGCTGGCGGATAAATATGATTTTGAATCAACAGTGTACAGTGAATTTGAAATCAACAGAAAAGGTGGTAGTTTCAGCTGCTTTTAGTTCACTGTTCAGTGTATCTTCCTTCATGAAGCCAGGTTATTGTAATCACGAAATGAATACTGAAAAGTATCTTTAAAAGTGTAATATATGTACTTGAGTTTCACTAGTTTGAATGTGAACCTAAAGAGATCACTTTTTGTGGAAGTTTTTACTTTGTACTTACTTGAATAAGGTGCATCTCTCATCATTTGATAAATGATTCCTGTGAACGATGATAGTTTAAATGAAGTGTTGTTTTTCCTGGATGCTGTTCAGTGTAGGCATGTGTTGAATCGATTTGAAACTGTCTTTGTGATCTAGTCAGGATCTTCGTGTCTGTGTCACATTTGCATTCCACTTGTTGTGTATGCTTCATTTTGATGAGACAGCAAATATTTCACTGCTCCAAAGATCATTGATGTTACGCTAGATTGGAAGCACTGATTATATTGATGGTATAAAATAAGTTTTACGTTTCTTCATATGAAATGTGAACTTACCGGAATTTATTACCATGAAGGTAGATAGACATAGACGAAATTTCAGTTACCACGCTGAATATATTCATTAACAGACAATCGGATAAACTGAATGAATCATTGATGAAATATTGTGCTTCTTTGTGGTAAGAGAATCACCACGATGGCAAACTGATGCAATTTTATTCATTATTCTGTTTAGTAGACAGAATATGTCAATCGAATTCCCTTTGTTTTACTTCATTTCTCTTCACTAACAACTAGTAGATAAATCGATAAAATCAATCTTGAAAATGTTATTATATAAATTCGACTGAA